CCGATGTCCGATATTCAGTTTCAAGGCCGATACCGATAGGGGGCCGATTATATCCTGCATCCCTAAAAATAAGGTCATGAAAGAATAACCTACTTAGAGCAGTAATTAAGACAAAACTCTACAATATAAACTATAAACCTTTTAAGTGTCTATTTATATAAACATGTTTTGCCATTTTCAATTCATTCAAAATGTACAATAAAGGTTTCTTTCTATATTCCAAATTTAGATGTGTATTCAGAAATGTTAGTATACAAAAGTATCTCTTTTTATATGAATAAAGATAATAATCCATTGGTTATTTGCTTAGTAAAATCAGATAGTAAGAACAATTCGTTCTGACTTAGCGAATGTTTACCTTACATGGCTGATCAGCTGTTTCCGCCGTCGCTGGCATCCTGAATCCATCATTAGAATCACATTTCTGTCCTGATGTCTCCAGATGGCATAAACCATCGCTAAGACCAGCTGACATGATAAACTAAGTACGACTTTCCAGAATCCAACGCTAGCATGCTAACTATGCTTCCTGTCTCCTACAGCCAAGCCGTAACGTCATTATCAACGGCGACATTATGCTTCACACTGCATCATTAATTCACTCTGATGGATAGAAACCTAGAAACTGTCTAATTTGCATTTTTGTTTTTTTTACTCTTTAAAAGTTAGTTAAAATTCACGTGACAAAAACCAGTCCCTTCTTAATTATTTGTTATCCTCGACTATTTTCCCTAATCGCCACTTTAGAGGAGTCCCGTTTCAGCACCAAACAGATGCTTGGTATGATGGGTTTTTCTGTACCTCGTGCAGAAGTCCGTCTCCTGACATGATGACTAAAGCGTCCCACTGGGACAGGTCAGCTTCTCTCACTTTCTCCCGGGCATGGTTCTGCCTTTCTGTAAAACATAAAACAAAAGGATAAGATGGGATTCAGGGAAGATAAAATCTGTGTCACAGCTGATCACTTCCAAAATGTTTCATCCCGCTCAAATAACAGATCAGGGTTTTGTCCTCTTGTAGGTCCAGCTCCTTACGGTCAGTTTCAGTCACAGTAAACTGGTTTTATT